GCCTGCAGGGGAAAATTGCAGAATTCTTCTGGCTCCAGATGGAAATTTCCACAGCTAAAGTGCACCTACTTGTGCAACATGGAAACCTGGTTGTATTCTAGGATGGACATCATCACCAACATTTTTGTCAGGTGAAAGGCTGCAGAAAGAATTCCTGAAGGCTGCTTCATACATGGGAGCATCTCAGGAGTATGCAGAGCCCAAGGACAGTGTCAGGTCGGATTTGGGTCCAGTCTTCATCTGGCCTCTGTATTAGGCACTGTCTTCAGCAGGGTTCAATCCACTGCCTCACTACTTTAGCTGTGAGCATTAAACATGTCCAGAAAAGAATAATATAATTTTATGTGGTCCCTTTCTTCAAAAAAATCAAAGCCCACTAAAATGAGTCTTTTTAAGAAAGGAGTTAGAACATGGTTTTTTATTCAGAGGTTATGGGCAAGAAAGCCAATGCTAGGAAAGTCTCTTTTTTTCTTTTTTCTTTTTTCTTTTTTTTTTTTTGAGACAGAGTCTCACTCTGTTGCCCAGGCTAGAGTGCAGTGGCACAATCTTGGCTCACTGCAACCTCCACCTCCCAGGTTCAAGTGATTCTCCTGCCTCAGCCTCCTGAGTAGCTGGGACTACAGCCATGTACCACCACACCCGACTAATTTTTGTATTTTCAGTAGAGACAGGGTTTTACCATGCTGGCCAGGCTGGTCTCGAACTCGTGACCTTCTGATCCGCCCACCTCGGCCTCCCAAAGTGCTAGGATTACAGGTGTGAGCCACCGTGCCCAGCCTAGGAAGGTCTTATGTAGTCATAGGTCAAGACTAGAGAACAGGCCATCAATTCCCTGCTGTGTTCTGGCCATTCTCTCAAGCAGGCCAATACACACAGCCTTCTTAGGGAAGGCCACGCTTTACATAGAATTCATGCCCTATAATTGCATCAGTGGCCCACTTGGTTTTACTTTCCCTTTAGCATATTTGGTGTTTTCCTTATTGCTCTGGATTTCCTGGCATATTTGGTGTTTTCCTTGTTGTCCTGGATATACCAGGCAATCCAGAGCCAAATTTGAAGTTCCCACAGAGCCACCCCACCACTCCACATTGTTTTCATGTGTAGAGCCTCATTTGTTCTCGATCCTGATTTTTCTAATCATCTTTGACTAACCCATTGTTGGACTGCAACAGCCCACTTTTTTCAAAGAGAAGGTCATAATGACATTAATTGCATATAAAAAGTCTTGTTCTTGGGTTGAGAAATGTGCTTAAAGTCTCCCCAAGCACTCCTGACTTGAAGATGTTTGTAAATCAGTTTATCTGAGAATTAGAGCCAATTGTTAAAGGGGTAAAGGTCATTCATTCTTAACTTCTCTTGGTAAAGAATGAATTTGGAGGCTGGGTACGGTGGTTCATACCTGTAATCCCAACATTTTGGGAGGTCAAGGTGGGTGATCACCTGTCAGGAGTTCAAGATCAGCCTGGCCAACATGGTGAAACCCCATCTCTACTAAAAATACAAAAATTGGCCAGGTATGGTGGTGGCATACCTGTAATCCCAGCTACTCGGGAGGCTGAGGCAGGAGAACTGCTTGAACCTGGGAGGCGGAGGTTGCAGTGAGCCGTGACTGTACTGCTGCACTCCAGCCTGGGAGACAGAGCAAGACTCCATCTCAAAAAACGAGAATGAATGTGGAGCCTCCCTTGCCCACTACAGTCTGGGTGGGAATGAGAATTCTAGTTCCCCTGGCCACAGGCCTCCCTGGCATCATCAGCTGTGGGGAAAAGGCACCTTCCTGAGCTTGGACTCCCCAGCTATGGCACCCAGGCACAGTGCCCCTCCATGTTTGCTATCCCTTGGAAAACACGGATGAGTATTGTACACAGGCTGCCCACTGACAAGGCTACATTTGCTATGGAAAAGCTCCTCAAACATCAGAACTCTGACCATGGCTTGGTGAGTACACAGTGCCTCAGAAGGTCATCAGCTATCCACAAGGTCTGCAGGGGTGCAGAACTGTGGGTCTGGACAGACCTGAGGCTGTCCAGAGGTCTCGTACTGGCCTGAGGCTCACTAGCAGTTTTTCAGAGCTTTGCTGGAAACAGCAAGCTTATGGGTACATAGCCAGGGATGGAGGGAAAGGCAAAAGCTCCTATTACGTAAATCTAGTGTATCCTTAAACAAGTTGAAAAAGCAATGGTCAGGAATGGTTGATGTGGGTGGCACAAACTCAGGAAGGGCTGCGACAGATCACTGAGCTCCATTTAATAGGGAAATTTGCCAAGAGAAGGCAGCTCAGAAGGCCCAGCTTTAAGAGTCTGCATCCCTTCCCTTGGCTGGCTCAGAAATAGGAAAATCCAGCCTTTATGCAAAAAGCCAGCTCTCCACTTGAAAAAGAAACCATAATTTCTATGTGGGTACACAGCAGGATTTCTCTGGATAGCAAGTCCTGCCGATGCATTTATTTTCTAAATATTTCTATTGCAGTTGTCATGGAGAAGGATGACGGTAGCTTGTTCCAGTACAGTGGCCAAGGGATGGAGCAAAGTCATGGGGGAGTCGAGGGATGTCGATAAGGACATAGAACCCACAGGACTTGGCAACCTGGAGGTGAGGAGTGAGGGAGACAGCAAGGATGACAGCCACGCCCCTAGGGCTGGCACCCATGAGACAGTCGGGGAGAGCTTTCTGAAAGGGTCTGCTCTGAGGAGCTATGCAGATGGCCGTGCCTGGACCTCACCCCCTTTCTCCTCCATCTCCTGTTTCCCTGCAAACATCAGGATCCCCCTTTCCACCTCTCCTGTGTTTCTCTCATGGGAGGCTCCCTACCCACCCACTGGTGTCTCAGTCCTCAGGTCTTAGGATCAGTGGCCCTCCAAGTAAGGGAGCTGCAGGGCTGTGTGTGTGAGAGAGACAGACAGAGACAGAAAGAGAGACAGGCAGAGAGAGACAGAAAGAGGATGCAGGGGTACATTCCCTCAAACACTCAGAATTCCTTCTCCCTGTGAGCCTACCCCCACCACCCCCCTCCGTCCCCACCACCTCCCTCCGTCCCCATCCTGCCTTGTTTGTTCTTCACCTGCTGACTTCCCAGTCTTCAGGTCTCACTCCAGTCAGTGTCACCTCCTCACAGAGGCCTCTGTTTGGCCCAGGTACCCTCAACTGACCACCGCCAACAGCCCCCCGGTATTCATTCATAGCCCTGTCTTCTTTTTCTTTTTTCTTTTGAAGCTCTTACCACAAGTTATTATGAATGTTTATTTATATATTTTTAAAATTTCTGTCTCCCAACTCCATTGGAATCCCCCTGAGAGCAAGGTCCACTTCTGCCCATTCTCCACTCCATCCCCAAAGTAGCCACAGGGTTGGCGTGTTGCAGGTGTTCAGCAGACACCTGCTGCAGGAAGTGGCGAATGTGGACAAAGACACAGGTCCAGCCGGGACGAGGCTGGTTTCTGGGCGGCTCAGAAAAACCACCCACTACCCTGACTGTGCTTCTATAGGGGAAGGCTGTCTGTTTAATTATGTTTTGGTTTATTTCTTCAATTCCCCCAAGTTAGTCGTTTCTGCCGGCCTTGTAATGGTTGGTAAATGAAAACATACTTGTATTTCTTTAAAGATTTATCACATTTCACGCTTCCACGTAGTAAGGCTTCTGAAGTCATCTTTTCTCTTAGTATCAGCCTTGAGAATTGACGTGAAAACAGAAGCACGATTTTCGAGTTTCTGAGTAATTTCTCCCCCGTGGACATAATCTGGCATTGGATAATGTGTGTAAAGAGGAGTAGTGATTTCAGATCCTCAGTGTTACAGCATTTTTTTTATTTATTTACCTTTCTTTAGCTTTGTTTTTCCTTTCATGTAAGTACAAAATACAAGTAATAGCATGACCAGCCTGGCTTGGAAACTTACCAGGAATGAAGAATATGCCTCTCTCAGTTTTCTGTTACAAAGTCATGTAGTCTTGTAACTTAATGACCCTTTAGTTGCAGTCCTTGCTGCACTGTCTCTATTAATAAATAGGTTTTGTTCCATCGGTACCTTCATCATCTAAAATTCCTCAATAGAAGTTATGATGCAATTCTGGGACCTTAGGCAGGAGGTTAAGGGAGGAAGGGAGACACCAGCAATCTACTTCTGTGGGATGCTGCTATGAAAATGGCCCTGAGTGACAACTGCACATTTTCACAGATATCCCCAAAGCAGAAAATATTCTTCCTGAGTTTGGGTATTCAATTACTGTGGGTCTTTAAATGAGAGTATACTGAGTCATGTAACCCTAATGCCATAGCTGCCACTGAGCCACCCCTGTGTCCACAGGGGGAAGGGTGTTACCTCAAAGGCACCCACAGCTAGGAAGATGGCTAACTGATGGCACTTATCAGCTTTCTTGGCTCCCGGCCTCCTTAGAATCGTAGCTTTCAAACCTCAAAGTCATGTCAAAAACAATTCTGAAAGTTTGCATCAAATGCTTAAGATTGTCTCTTTCCAAATGATTCCTAGGAGAAAGCAGCAAATAGTGAGCAGCAGTCTTTCTCCTGTTGAAGCCTGGACTGTAATTTCGAGTTTTTAACACCACTCCCACAATGGAACTTCCCTAGCAGAGGTTTTAGTAACTGATGAGTTACTGGAGCCCTAGGGTCCAACTGTGTCTTCAGTAGTCTAAAGGCCCCATATAAGAATTTCCCAGCTTACGTGTTTGTTACCTAGTTCATCATTCACTCACTGAGCAGCTATTACATCTGCTTGTGTGCCAGGGTCTGTGCAAGACAGACATGGCCCCATCTGGGGACAGCCTGCAGGCTGGTATAAAAGCAGACATTCCCTTTTGTTTTCCTGCGAGGGAAAGAAAAGCTCCCTGTTGGATATTTAAGGAATAATACAAACACAAGTGACTTCTCACAACCCCGCATATAAAATCAAAGAGAATAACAGCAATGTAATGGCTCCTAAGATTCATCTGGACACTCAGGAGTTCAGTTTATTGTTCACTTTAAAGAAAAGTGAGAAACACCCCTTAGTGGTTGATTTCAAGGAGGAGCATATCTGCCTCTCAGAAGAATCTGGGGAGCACGGAATACCTTTATTTATGGTGGAGAATGTTCTGTCAAGGTCTGGCGACTTCTTTACTTAGCTCAGCTAGATGTTTACAATGCCTGGCTCCAGTAGGTTCAATTAGCATTTATTGACTTCCTGTCTGTCAATGCCCATGTTTTTAGCAAAAGAGTCAACACACCTACTTCACACAAAAATGCTTAAGTAAATTTAGATAAGAGCAGCAGAATGTTGACAATTTCAATTTATGTTTCTTAGATAAATATATAGCTTTATAAAAAATTTTCTAGTAGAAGTCCGTAACGGGTTATTTTGCTATTGTAAAAAGCTGTCTTTTGAAGAGTAGTTCAGTAAATGGATGACCCTTTTTTCCAGCCTTGGTGCCTGCTCTTGCACTGTAATCACACAAGAGATGCGTGAGGGGCTGAGGATCTGTTTCTGGCTCCTAGTTGACACCCCTTTGCATCTCTTTTCACTTCACCTGGAATTTTGGGCAAATCTTCTTGTAAGGATAAGTAACCTTAGGGGGAAAAATCTATTAATACCAGGAAGAGAAGAGTTTTGACCAAGGTCTAGGGGTAGGGTAGGGATGGGGCTCCCCTCTCCAGGGCTTGATTACCGAAAAGGATCTCTTGACCCATCCACAATCTTCCCTCCTAACTCCACTCTCTCTACTAACATAGTAGTGAAAATGCTCCCAGTGAAAATGATCAGTACACAGGTTTGTAACAAGTGGGCGTGGTTAGTAGACCCACTGAGAATTTGCGTAAGCACTGCCAATTGCCTTCTCATTCTTCCTGGGGATTCGAGAATATTCAGCCAATGGGATATTTATTTCCCTAGAGAATGAGGGGCCAAGGAGAGGGAACTTCAATCACCAAGGAGTAGGATGGAAATCCTCCCGAGTATTAGATTTTGAAGGCAGTCTGTTAAGGCAGAGTGAATTGAGACCTCAGACAGTCTCAACTAACTGTTACAGTGTCAGTAAAACTCTAATGCCACAGTGAATGAATTAACGACAAGCAGTGACAACATCACCTCTCAAAATGTGCTACATCGGAGGCACTCATAAATATATAAACACAGGGAAGTCTGGGTGGCTTTAAAACTAGCCCTGATCTTTTACACCGAGTGAAGTTATTTCTGGGCAAAATGAAGTCTATTCTGGTAAGAAGTATTAACCCTGGAGAGAGGGGCCTCTTGCTGACGGGCGGCAGTTGGGGGGAGCATCTTGCCTCTCTTGCTCTCTGGCCCTTTCTGAGTACCTTCTCCTCTGCCAGGCCCAGTGTGCCCAGGCTTCCAATAGCTGTAACCCAAGCAGGGTGCTGGAAGGGTTTTCATCAGGTACCATGGGTGTCAAAAACATGTCCCTGTCCCCCCCCCTCAAAGCAACAGAGCTTTGTCAAAGTTCATAAATTTCTAGGGTCACAACAACCTAAAGCATTAAAGCAACACTGGCTCAACCCCATGGAATGAGCAGTTCAGCCCATTGCCTAGGCCAGGCCAAGACCCCTGTGCAGATTTAGAAAATCAAGGGCTTGTTGACAGAGGGACAGGGATCCTTGCCTTTGTAGAATTTGAATTATGCATTGAATAAAAGAATAGAGTTTACTACTTCTTGATACTGTATATTTCTTAGTCAAATGACTAAGAAATAGTGAATATTTTGTTATTTTAAAAGTCCTGTCATATTCTCATTTGATAGTTCCTTTTTTCAAAGGACAACCACATTCTCAGTTTGAAAACCACATTCTGAATTCCGTGGCCTGAAACATGCAGACAGTTTTTATATTTTCCACAGCTTGTAAAGACAAAGGCATTTGGCTGCCTGTATTTTAATTTTCCTGAAGACCTAAAAGTGGTTGGCAGATCAGAATGAATAAACAGCCTTTGGTAGTAAGTCCTCAAACCCTCACACTTTTTTTTACTCAAGTTATTACCATGTAGAACAATTCATTCAATCTTTTAAAAATGTATTATGAAATATTTCAGATATGCAGAAAAGTATGGATAACATAACAAAGACCTTGGAACTCACTATTCAATATAAGAAATAAAACATGACCCATCCAGTTGAAGTCCCTGTATACCTGCCAATCCCCAGATAGCTACTTTTCTGAATTTGATATCATTCCCATGCTCTTATTTTACTATGGTTTTGTTCTGCATGTTTTAAAACTTTATATAAATTATATATTATATGCATTCATCTGCAGTTTTCTTTTTCCCCTTGATATATATATATATATCATATGTATATGATATATAAATGTTTGAGATATGTATGTGTGTTTATAACCACATAGATGATGGATGAAGTGGTACCTACCTCACTGAAGTTTTAGTTTGTATTTATGGTTATTAATGAAATCAAGCATGTTTATCATATTTCAACTCTTTGAATAATCTGTTTATATCTTTTGACTATTATTCTATTGAGCAGTTTGGTATTTCTCGTTACCTTACAGGAATTCTTTATATATTCTGAATGTTAAACCTTTCTCATTTCTGTGCACTGCAAGTATCTTTCCTCAGCATGGTTTGTCTTTCTACTTTGCTTATGGTGAATTTTGGTGCACAGACATTTTAGGTTTTTTGGGTTTTTTTTTTTTTTTTTTTTTTTTTTTTTTAGTAGAGACAGGGTTTCACCGTGTTAAGCCAGGATGGTCTCGATCTCCCAACCTCATGATCCAAAGTGCTGGGATTACAGGTGTGAGCCACTGCACCCAGCCTAGGTTTTCATATAGTTACATTATCTCAGTCTTTCACTTTTGCTTTGTCCAGATCTTGTCTAAGAAATACTTCTCTACCTCAGGATCATAAAGATACTCTCTAGTCGTGCATGGTGGCTCACTCCTGTAATTCTAGCTCTTTGGGAAGCCAAGGCAGGTGGACTACCTGCAGTCAGGAGTTTGAGACCAGCCTGGCCAACATGGTGAAACCTCATCTCTACTAAAATACAAAAATTAGCTGAGCATGGTGGCAGGCACCTGTAATCCCAGCTACTCGGGAGGCTGAGGTAGGAAAATCTCTTGAACCCAGGAGACGGAGGTTGCAGTGAGTTGAGATGATGCCACTGCACACCAGGCTGGGCGACAGAGTGAGACTCTGACTCAAAAAATAAAAAAAGATAATGTTCCAGTATTTTCATCTAAAAGCTCCAAGTTTTCTATTTCACATTTAGTCCTTTAAATCTTTCTGGGTTTAATTTTTGTGTTTGGTTTGGGGTAGCAATTCACTTTCTTCCATTTGGAAAACCAGCAGTCCCAGTACCATTTATTGACCTGCCCACCTCTTCCTGACCAATCCTGCAAGGCCAGTTCTGTCATCTGTCAAGGCTTGGGCTGTCTGCTGTGTTCCACTGGTCTCTGGGTGAAAAACGTGTGGTCTTAATTACTTTAGTTTTTTTAAAAAAGTGTCTTGGCATCCAGTAAAGCAAGTTCCCCTACCTCGTTCTTTCTCAAAACTATTTTGGCTATTTTTGGCGCAACTTTAATCTTTCTCCTCTCCTTGAGTTTGCCCTAGACTAGTACAAGCAATCGAATGGCAAGACTTCAAGTAAGCAGAAAGGAAAAATCAAGCCAAAGCCAGCCCTGGATAATCCATAAGCTGGATATTGGACTCCTAATAACTAAGACATCTCTGTGTAGTAAAAAGTATAGAAAGCCCATATATTAATAAAAGTAGAATATGTGTTTACAAAAAACAAAAGCATTTAAAAAAAATCTTTTCCAGGCTATAGCAAGGACCATTTAGAAACAGAAACTGGAGCCCATCCACTGGTCAGTACCAAGGTTCTTGTCTTTATTTTTTAAAATATGATTTTTAAATATATTTTTTGCATACAGATAATCACAGAGTTTTATGAAATAGTGCTAAAACTGTATGTTTTTGCCTAGAACACTCAGGACATGCAAATTAAATGTCAGACTGTCACTAGGAGAACATGCTAATTCCATCAGAGCAGGGTCTAAGAATGAAGTGATCTTTCTCTCATTCAAGGGAGACTGTATTTTCCTGCTCTCAGCGACATTTCTGTAGCCTCATGATTGCTGCTTGGTGTTCTACAGTGTCTCCAGATCCAGACTTTCTTATATGGACCGCAGGACAAAAAGACTCTGGCCACCCAGCAGGCCATGGGCATCCTGTCCATGTGAGTTGGCTTCCCTCACACTTTCTCTGAGTATCTCATTCCCTTTCCATTCAGAATCTCAAGAGGAAGCTGTTTCTAGAAGGTTCTATAGTTCTGCCCAGGTATTTAGAAAGAATTTGTCCTTTAAGTCAGAAATATTTGCTGGAGGCCGGGCGCGGTGGCTCAAGCCTGTAATCCCAGCACTGTGGGAGGCCGAGGCGGGTGGATCACGAGGTCAAGAGATCGAGACCATCCTGGTCAACATGGTGAAACCCCGTCTCTACTAAAAATACAAAAAATTAGCTGGGCATGGTGGTGCGTGCCTGTAATCCCAGCTACTCAGGAGGCTGGGGCAGGAGAATTGCCTGAACCCGGGAGGCGGAGGTTGCGGTGAGCCGAGATCGCGCCATTGCACTCCAGTCTGGGTAACAAGAGCGAAACTCCGTCTCAAAAAAAAAAAAGAAATATTTGCTGGATGTTGTCCTCCTGCAGACTAGCCCCCTGCAGGCTAAGGCACCCGCTGCAAGGGGTGGGCCCTAGAGCTCCTATGGCCTCCTGCAGCCCTGCTTCCAGCTTCCCTCTGCCCTCGGATGCCTGTCAGGACTGGAGCTGGAGAGTTCACTGACTTGACCTTGAAGGCTGCCCCCCATGTCCTTTCTCAGCCTGAGCAGAGGCCCAGCAATCTGCTGTGGAGGGCCCACCTCAGAGCCTGGTCCACAGGGAGCATCCCTAGGGTTACCCGAGTCTGTGCTCCAGGGAACAGGGCCACAGCCTGCAGCAGAGACTGAACGTGGCCAGCAGGGCAACATACCCTTTGAGAGCAAGCAAGGTGAGCCAGGGAGGCCTCCAGCCCAGCCCGGACCATCCTTCTCACCCGTGGCCTGCTCACCAAGCCAGCTAAGCATTGATTGCCTCAGCTCAGTGAGGATGGTCACAGGGGACTTTAAAAGATGGGAGGGGCCAGGCGAGGTGGCTCATGCCTGTAATCACGGCACTTTGGGAGGCCGAGGCAGTGGATCTCTTGAGGCCAGGAGTTTGAGATCAGACTCGCCAACACAGCAAAACCTCGTCTCTACTAAAAATACAAAAATCAGCCGGGCATGGTGGCATATGCCTAATCCCAGCTACTCAGGAGGCTGAGGCAGGAGAATCACTTGAACAGAGGGGTTGGAGGTTGCAGGGAGCTGAGACTGGGCCACTGTACTCTAGCTTGGGTGACAGAGTGAGACTCTGTCTGAAAAAAATAATAATAAAAAATAAAAGATGGGAATAAAACATCTCATGTTCTATGCTCTCGTGCCACAATTCTCCTCTCATTTACATCTCCTCCTGAGGCTTCTCCTGAATGGGTCTGGACACCTGCTGGGCAGCAAAGGCTGGATGGGAACAGTGTGGGAGGCTGAGGGGCACCACACTCACCTCACCCTCTGCTTGTCTGCAGGGCCCCCGAGATTGCTGTGAAGCCAAGGCAGGCATCGAAAGGCAAAGTGGCCTTCTGTACCAGCGTCCCTCAGGACACCATGCTGGGGAAGGCCCGGCCCAGCACAGCAGCAGACTGAGGCCCCCACCCTAGGACATTCCTGGGCATTGCCAATTAGGGTGCTGTACACATCTGTCTCCACCTAGAAGATGGAATTCAACAGTCAGGATACAGATTTCCAAGGCCAACTGTTGGCTCCAACATGCAACAGTGAGACCGAAAGCCTCCTGTGGGCCACATTGTGAACTGTGGATGCCCTTCAGTGTGATATATGCTAGAAAGCATTTTTCTTTTAATCACCTAAGTGTTTTTTCTTGCCAGCAAGAATTTTTACCCATCAGCACTACTGTGGCTGAAACTTCTCTTCAAAATTTCAGAGCGGCCTCTGCAGGAGTCAGCCTGGCATCTACTGGTACACACAAATCCTTGCATAGGTCTGGAGTCAGATCTGGAACACTGAAATTCAGAAAGAAGCCCTTTCTTATAGGAGGTTAACAGGAATCAAGAATAACATCAGAAGAAAAAGCTAATAAAGGGAAACTTGAATGCACTGGTGTCGGCATGTGTTTTCAAAGTGCAGCCTGCCTCGGAGTTCCTTGGAGCCTGAAAGGGGTTCAGAGACAGCGCCCTTTATGTGTGTCCTTGGTTACTCTTTGAACTGTGTTGAGCACCTGGTCTGTACCAGGCATGTGCTAAGAACTGGGGGCACGGCAGTAGACAAGACACAGTCACAGCCCGGCACAGCACCAGGAATTAGGTCTGTGCTGGTGGGATTGGTAGGCAGCAGGGGCAGCACCCATGACAGCGAAAGAGCAGAGTAGGAGGGGCAGGAGGCCAATGCAGCGGACTCGGTGCACCTGACTAGGCCTGGGGCTGGGAGGCAGGTGTAAGGGACTGAAAAGAAAGGCCAGCAGGAGGCTACAGGGGGGTGGCACTGATTCCCTGCTGCTTCGCATCCCTTGTCTGGCCTCTACTGCAGGCAGGACAAATCTGGACACCACCTGGAGCTGCTTCCTGAGTTGACACACTGTCATGTGCACAGCAGTCTTCAGCTCCTTGGAGGGACGCCTTAGTCATGTGAGGATGGCCAAGTCTAATAGGAAGCTTTGAGCGTGTTTCTCCACAATGTCAAAGATGAGAGCCACTGCCGGATCAAGATGGATGGAGCACCCAGGAGTAGGGATGCAGGTGTGGGCAATGCATCCCTTCACTTCCCTCCCCTCATCCCACAGACCATGGCCAGTGAGGCTGCAGGCCAGTACTAGGATGGCAGCAGATTGCAGCACAGGGCCCTCCCCTCCAGCCCGCTGTGGGACATCCAAACCATCCTGGGGCCATCTGTGCAGGGCCCCACCTCAAGAATTGATGGGGAAAATAAACTCAATAGAGCCACGACAGGGTAGAAAAAAGCAGGGTCCATGTCTTCCTCAGAAGCCTGACCCCACAGATCATCCTTGCTGGTACACACTGGTCCCAGATCCTGGCCTGCGGGACATCAGCAGTGTGCTAAAAGGGTGTAAGATGTGGTCACTACTCACCCTGTGTCCTATCTAGTTGACACAGGTGGAGTCTGCTATGGGCTGAATGTTTGTGTGCCTCCAATTCATGTTGAAGCCCTAATCCCCAAAGAGATGACATTAGGAGGTGGGGCCTTGGAGAGGTGATTAGGTCATGAGAGTGGAGCCCTGATGAATATGATTAGTGCTTTATAAGAAGAGACACAAGAGAAATGATCTCTCTCTCTCCACCATGGGAGGACACAGTGAGAAGGCAGCCATCTGCAGGCCAGGAAGAGAGCGCTCACCGAGAAGCGAATCTGTTGGCACCTCGAGACTTCCCAGCCTCCAGAACTGTAAGAAATAAATGTCTCTCAGGTTATGGCTCCCTGTTATAGCAGCCTGAACTGAGAGTCCATGCTGGGTTTTTGAAATAAATGTGCATCCTAGTGTTACTTCTTCCTTTCTGTATTTTTTGAAAGGTATCTTGGAATCACAAAGGCTAAAACACATTTTTTAAATTTAGTGCCCCCACCCCAGGAAAGCATGAATTTAGGAATGCTCCCTCCAATGTTGCCCATCTGTTAATTCTGTTGACTTCAACAGGAGAGGAAGACTACAGCTACTTGTGTTTTTGTATTTTTGGTAAGGGGCTACAAACAGGTAAGGATATCTAGCTGCTCCTGTGTCTCAAACTACCTCAGTTTTTTCAAGCCCCTAAGAAATGGCCATGGCCATTTCTTGGTTAACCCTCCAATTTGCACTTATAATGCAACCAACTATGCCCAGGCCAGTCTTGGTTTTAGCACTCAGAGTCCCACATCCCAAGAAACCTCTTCATCCCAAACGGGATGGTTGGTGGTATCCTACTGGCACTAGTCTTTCAGGCTGTGATGACATGTTTACTCCAAATTGTCCAGGGTATATCTGAATACAAGCCAGTTGGCTTATACTCTGTCTGCCACGCTTTCTAGCTCTGTGCTTACAATATTGAGGAATTAGAAACTGGAACTTTACATATGAATTCTTTCCAGTAATACTCTGCTACCCAAAAAACATGCATGTAAACACATAGATTCTTTATTTAGAATTTAAAGGAAACATCAAAAATCTACTTAAAATATTCATTCTCTTTAAGAACAATGTGGGTTTTTTCCTCAGATTTTTATTTTTGTACATTCTTGTGACACTTCCCATTGTAGGGAACAGGGGTTTAGCAAAATCAGCTTCTTAGATGATGCCATTCTAAATATACACCTTAAACAAACGATAGCAAAACAACCAGTGGGAAACTGGAAAACATTCAGTGAGTACTGTTTGTCTAAATAACAATAAATACAAAAAGACTGGTTGTGTTCCAGCCCCATCCAACCACAAAGTGATTTATCTTCTGTCCAGAGCGACTGGTTTTAAAGGACATGGAGCTTTGGGGTGACCTGTCACAATGTCAAGGGCACTCTCCTGGGTGATTCACAGATTTGGCAACCAACAATAGTTTGATTCCATACTCATAAATACTTCTGGCAGAATATTTCTCGAAGCTTTGTGTCCCAAACTTGCAGATGACAAGATCTAAGATATTTCCCAAAGTAAATACAAGTGGGTCATAACATTAATTACCTGTTTGCATCAGCTTCCATTTACAAGTCATGAGACCAGACACTGACATCAAACTGAGCCCACTTAGACTTAGACCCCTCACCGCCAGTCTTTCTGGTCATCAGACAGGAGACTGTCACCGTAACCAAATTCTCACCAATCAATCATCTATCCAAAAACCATTACCTGTTACAGATAAAATCAGCACATCTTTGACTGTATTAGAAATGACAAATCTTTACAAAGCAGTCACCTCCATCCCAATCTGACAATCACTAGTTAATTTGGCAGATGGATAACAAAGGTTTAAACTTGCAATTCAAATCAACTTTCTTTCCATACTCTGATTCGCAGTGTTTTTCAAATGTCATCTGGAAAGCTGTGCTGCATTTCTCCTCCATTGACCGATTAAGAAAATGCACTCTCCAGAAACCGCCTGCGGTAGGCACTCCCAGGATCTGGGGAGACGTGGGCCCTGGGGGTCCAAGGGCCTCCACGAGTCTGAGAGGGAAGACCCTCCAGTGCCATCATTGTAGCCTGCCTGAGTGTGGGGCTACCTCAGTTTTATTCCTCAGTGTACTAGTCAGTGCTATGATACTGTGTTACAGAAAGTACAACTGAGACGACATGACGTGAAAGAAGCTAGCCTGGACTGGAATAATGCCGTACTGCTAGCAATCCTCTTTCCATATGATGCTACACTTTACAGACGGAAGCTTTAAAAGCAATACCCACATGTCCAATGAAGCATGCTCATCCCAGTATCTGAAACCCGGTGGTGCCTATCTACAGGTCCACGCTCTGCGGCCCATGAGTGTGGAGGCCTTTCTCACACCCCAGGTATCTCAGTGCTGGGCTGCAGAAGAGATACCCAGTTCCTTCCCCAAAACTTCCTTCTATTTAATAGATTGTTTCTCTGGACAAAACACCCCAATTGCAATGACTTCTGTTGAAAGTGCAAAAAAGTTTCCGTGAGGTGGGTTCACGGTTGTTTTTATCTTTCACCCCTGAGCTCAGAAAGACCTGCATCCTGTGAATGGAAGGCTGGGAAAGGCGTCTTTAGGAGGCATGGTCCACTGTGTGTTTCCATTTTTCCTGCACACAGCCAACTTGCCAGTCCAGCTGCAGTCTGAGCATCAGCATTCTTCATTGCCTTCAAGGTCTACCTCCCCCCAGTGAAATGAAACATTTGGGTGCTGAGGGCTAAGATGCAGAGAAGCTCAAGTCTGCACAGTCTGATAGGAACTGGCCACTCCAGAACTTAGGCTATAACAAAAAAAGGGTGTTCAGACTGTGTGCTACTTAATGACCTAGTGCCAAAAAATGAAATGGTACCAATCCTCAGCTACCCTACCAGTGCAGGGGAACCTGTGCAAACAGAATGTGAAATATCACAACAGACTACAGCTGTCCTCTCCGTAAATACTATATTTTAAAAAGTTCTGTATATAGAAAGCAATTCATTCGAGTCTTAAGATAAATTTAACTCTATATGGCAAGTAAATTTTTCCTAAAGATGAAATCATTTATTTAGCAAAAATTTTTTAACATAAACAGTCTGCTTATTTCCTACAATTTCTTTTTGAAAAGACTTTTTAGAAAGAGTCTAAAATGTATTTATTTTTCCCCTACAATGTTAGTTTATTATTTCATATTAGCACATGCAAGCAAAATTTACTCTTAAATATATTACTTTAATCTGGTTAATGTTTTGACATCTATAATTAACTGTTATTCAAACAGATGCAAGCCATGTCTGTGATCAGGTGCAAAACATAGAAATCACCTCCAGGAGTGGAGAGAAGACTCCAGGAGAAAAAAAAAAAAATGTTTTGTAAAAGTCCAAACTCACAAATAAAATTGCAGTGTCTTTTAAGGCATGAATTAACTGGAAATCTTTATGGAGTAATATAAATTGACACTGCCTGGAGTACTCTCTAAGAAAGCAAAAAAGAGGAGATTTTAATGGACTCCCTGCGCCTTAAAATAAGGCCTTTGAATGTTGGTATGTTGCCAATAGGATACCATTAAAACAAAATGTTTCTGCTTATTAAAACCAATGCCCATCATTCTCCTCCTCCTCATTGTCTAGATAGAGGAGGGCAACTTTCTTTTCATCCGAAATCACTGACCTTTGGTCTACCATTCTTTGTAGCTGCACCTTCTTATCAAACATGGCCTGCTCCTTGCCCTGTTCTCCTTCCCCAGCAGAGGCCTTAAAGCTCACACCAACTGCCTGATCATCCCTACTGTCTGTGTCTCTCCAGGTACCATGGTCAGACACACCGCGAGCTCCTGCTTCCTGTGTCCGGCTGCGGATGGCCTCTACGTTACTCACATCCATCTGAAAGGTAAACGAAGTTTCTTTGGGCCCTGGTGCAATGTGCCTAAGCGTTCCTCTGCTGTCTGCTAACTCACCTAGCTCAGGGGAGGCCACTGAACCAGCAAGCACTAATGTTCTGGACACAGGTCCACGGATGACAACATGTTCAGAGGTTTCATTTTCTGTAGGACCTAGCTGAATGTGCCTAAAGGATCTGCTAATACCCGATGTCACTTCTGCCCCTGGCATGTCCCCTGCACTATCCTCCTGAGGAGATTCTGAAACAACACTTTGGAAGGTGCTCTTTTCAGTCATAAAGGTTTTTCTACCTATGGTATGACTATGAGTGGCCTGGGACACATCTGCTGAGCTCTCCCTGTGCACAGTGCTCTCTGAGTCACCAGATTCCCCGGGTCGGGGAAGCAGCCCATGGTAAACTATCTGCTCGGTGGTCTGATGCCTCTGAGGCCCAAGGCTGATGTGCCTGATGGACATGCTGCTCCCTGGCAACCCTTCCGTGTGTACAGAATCTCCTCTGACACCCAACTCCAGCTCGTCTGAAAATGGAGCTGTGAATTGGATCTGCCCACTGAACCCTTCTCTAGGGCCTAACTGGAGTTGCCTTACAGAAATCTGGGTACCCACTGACTCTTCTGTTGCAAAATAATCACCAACCTTCCCTGCAGCAGAAATGGGGCCCTGAAAAATAATCTCCTTTTCAGCATGAAATTGTCTGGAGCCAAATGTGCTATGCCTCCCTGATCCATCCATATCTGCAGAAAACTCTGCTGGGCCAGGCTCTGGCAAGCCCCCACCCTCCGGACAGGCAGGGGCAGGGCCTTGGAAGACGACTTCTCTGGACAGTGGACTCTGACTGGGACCCAGCGTGACATGCCTCACAGACCGGCTGGCTCCGGTCGGGCTCACTGCCTGACTTAGGTCACCTCCGTCACTTACCTCCACCACTTCCATAGTGGGTCCTTCATATGACATTCGCTCAGTCCTCCAGACCTCAGAGGGGCCAAGTGTAATGTGCCTTGCAGCCTGACTCACATCCTCCAACACCTGTGACTGGGCAAAGCCCGTGGGGCTGCTGACCTCCACAGTGGCCGACACTGGGCCCTGGGGACTGGGCCGTCCCGAGCTGTGAGTGGCGCGGCCCACGTCCTCGCTCTCGCCTGAGGGGATGTACAGCTCCCTGGTGGCCCAACGCCTGAAGCGAACACCAGTGCCGGGGGCCTCTGCTCCATCTGCCTCATCTGGGCTGCCGGGCGCAGGGCTGCGTCGCTTGCTTAGGCTCTCCCGAACCACTGACTCCACGGCTTTCTCCATCTCACCAGCCTCATCTCTGCTCAGCTCCTCTAGGTCTAACTGATCGGCATCCACGGTTTGTGAGAGGTTGACCTCAGCAACCAGGGTCACGGAGCCGCCACCAGCAGCCTGGATCTTCTTGACGTCCACGGAAACGCTCCCCGGCCCGCCCTGCCCCTCACTGGTGAGGGCAGCCAGCTCTTCCCTCATGCGCTCTGGCAG